GTTTGTGCCCTTGATCAAGTCGTGCCTCTACATCAAGTGCACGTTCGAATCGTACTCGTCGGACGAAGACTTGCTGCAAAGGAGCATTCTCAGCAAGATGGTTGTAGCAGAATCAACACGACCTGATATCATCCAGCTCTTCCACAGCTTCTCGCTCAGTGTTGCCAAGCAAGGCCTCGTCTATTCGGCAGTGATCGATTCCAAGATCGCTGACTTCAATCGGCGATCCTCTGTGGATTCGGGTAGAATCTCTGACGCCGAGCGACAAATGCTCAAGTTACTCCCTTTGCAAGACAAGCGCTGCCTCTCGGTGCTGAGCCAGCATTGGGACGCCTTCAAGGCAACGGAGAGTGCCATCCCACTGAGGACACTTGTGAAGTGGACGGACAGGGCATTGCCGGCAGACATGTCCATCGGGTCAGAATGGAAGTTGATACTCACTTGCAGTGCACTGAAGAACCTCACATTCCTCATGAGGCAAATTGCAATCTTCCTGCGATCCCTCAAGGAAGCAATGAACACTGCCAAGAAGTCCATCAACCTTGCCTTCCGAGCGCCAAAACTTCGTGATCCGAACCCACAGATCGGGTATGACATGTGCTGCCTGTGGTGTCACTTTGCCACTGACTTCGAAAAGATGTTGGGCCCCACTGTCTTCGCAAAGGCTGAGACACAGTTTCTGCGTGGGCAATTCGACCGAGAAATGACGGAGAAATGCAGAACATGTGATGCAAAGATCGTGGCAAAGGACTTCCGGTTCATTAGTGTGCTCATGGGTACGAACACCAATGTGCAGTCACTGCAAGTGGTGGCGGCCGCGGCAGAGTCGGAACTTGAGCAAGCTCGCCTGAAGGCGGTTACAGCACGGCTCGCCCAGGAAGAGCACTTGTGGCGGGAGTACTTGGATGCCATGAAACAATGGACTACGAAGAACAGTGCGGACCGAACAACTTTCCTGCTCCGGGAGAAGGATGACTTGGAAAAGGCCACGAAGGAGCTGGTGGATGGTTCAACTCCTGTGTACTTTCTTGACAATCCCGGGTTCCTGAGTACCACTGTGCAGTCAGCTGTGCACAAGTTCTCTGTGGCACCAGACCTGTTCCAAGTCATGGTCTGTGACCTCACGAAGCTGGGCTCGGCCTTCAGTAAGTACATTGTCCAGATTGGCACTGCTGTGTCCGAGTTTGTGAATGGCAACCCAAAGTTCACTTGTGGCCTTGTGTTTGCACCCAATTGTGCAGAGTGGGGGTCCGCTTACTCGGAAAAGAAGCTGAACGAGGCTGTGGCCACAGCCGAGACCCAATTGCGCACAGATGAGCTCCACATGTCCGTTCGCCGGGGCACTCTCACTTTTGCCGAATCCTCCATCCCGAACCACTCCCGACGCCGAGGGTTTCATGAGTTCTTCATGGTCGTTTCGGATGTCGAGGAATCCGGGCAGCTTGTTTCAGGATTCTCATCCTCGGCACTCTGGGTACGGACAACGGTTGCCGATGTGCCCCTGTTGAGCACCAGCGAGTACATTGTTCCCGATCCGTCCATGTTGCACTCCGGATCCGGCTTGTCGAAGTCGCAGCGACTCAAGCAGAGTATGTCAGGGCAGCAGCTTTGGCACAAACTCCTGCCACGACTCTGGCATGGGATGCCCACATCAGCATTGGCAAAGCCGGCTGTCTATGTAGACATACTGCCCTATGATTTGTCACTCACGAAGGCACTGCTTCACTTCAACACACAGCCCAAGTCTGTGTTGCCTCAGGGTAAGTTAGCAAGCATTGTTTGGGCCAAAGACGATAGTGGGACTGACCACCGCCGAGGGATGCAGCAGTGGCTGATTTCGGGAACCATGAACTACATGCAGAAGATGGTGGATGACAAGATCCTCACTCTGCCCGGCTACACGCCCAAGATCTACACAGCCATGAAGTCGCCGCAGTACAATGAGGAAGACTTTGTCATGACCATGCCTCTGGTTGAATGCGAAGGGCAGAAGGCTGCCCTGCCATTTCGGCAGGCTTGGCTAGACTCGCCGGATGGCCGCTTCAATGCATGCAAGATTCAGTTTGATGCAGTGGTGGCGGCGCACGACAAGGAGTTCAATGTCTCGGGTGTGCCATTCAAGGGCCAGAAGCGCATGGCTCCACTGGCAGATGAATCCGACCCAATGGAGGCATTGCTGGGCCTGGCCCCAGCCGCCGAAACCAAGGCTCAGTTGGAGAAGCCCCTGGTGGAGATCAGTGCAGCTGACATGGATTTGCTCATCGATGCCAAGAAGCAGCTGTGGTTGTTGGCCAAGAAAAGCACCATCATCAGCTGAAAAAAGCCCTTGCTGCTGCTTTGGGGTGAGTACATCAAGGACGATGTCTTGAAGAAGAGGCAGGAGGCCAACAACGCATGGCTCATGGAGTACAAGTTTGACTCCCCGGACATGAAAGCATTCCATTTCCATGAGCTGGGCAACGTGCCGGCATTCGAAGAGGGCCTCACCACCATCAAGAGCTTCCTCAAGTTCTTGGAGCAGCATGCCATCGTCCAGCCAAGTATGGCATGTCATGAAATCACCGTCGCTGAGGTGGGGATTCAGGGTTCAATGCCTCAGTGTGTCTTTCATGCAATGCCCCGCTATGCTAGGACAGCTACAAGATCAACATGACAAAGGAGTGCTGCTTTGAGAAGAAGCCTTTGCCAGCAAACCAAACCCCATCGGCCAACAACGGTGGCAGTCTGCTGTCTTTCAGTGGGACCGATCTGGGCCAACACTTGAAGCTTGTTCACAGGCTCAAGTATAATTTGACCGACAGCTCCAAGGGAATATTTCCCCAGAAGCCTAAGATTTTCCTGACACATGACATGAAAGTAGAGGCTGGCAAGTTGTACAGGTTGCCCCTCTCGTAGACATTGGACATTGTCTGGCTGACCGTTTGCATGAAGAGTAACTCTCTCAGACACTTGCAGTTCAATTGTTGCCTACTTCACAAGCAGAAGGAAAGCCAGCCCGGTACAGCAGGCAACAACAGGTTCACTGATTGGCCGGTCGGGCATTGGTTGCAGCAGGGTTCTGATTCAGAAAATTGCTTGGGTAATTTCTATGGGTGACCGGAAGTCTTTGCAACAACAGGCTGCCAGTGCCGACATTTTGCTTCCATCAGTGAAGAGTTGCCCAGATGAGATGTTCCGCGCCATGCTGCATGGCCATACTACTGCCTGAAGCCCGTGCATTGAAACGGAACCGAACGGATGCATGCAGGATGGCTGGCTTCACTGTTGTGCTGCAGTATTAGCAAGAATGCCGAGTCTGATTCATGAACATGTCAGATCCCTGTTCTTGCAAAGCCATCTGTGATTCGAGCTGCTGTGGTGTTGTGTGCTTCCAAGCGTCAAATGGCTGCTTTGTGGGTGGGATCTTCTGCCATTGAAGATACTGAGCAAAGTGCACACACATGTGTGCTTAGCTTGGATGAGCCGATGTTCCGGAGCCCTGTGAAGACGAAGGGTTTTGACGTCAAGCCGGAGATGAAGACTCCCAAGATCACAAAGTCTCTGACCCCGAAGAAAGGAAGTCCTGCAGGCAAAGCGGTGATCAAGACTCCCAAGAGCAAGACCCCGAAGAGCAAAAGCCCCACAGGCCCCAAAAGCAAGACGCCGAAGAGGACCCCAACAGCCAATGCCACACCCATGAAGGCGAGCCCGAGCCCTCAGAGCAAGACACTGAAGAGCTCCCCAAAGGCCACACCCATGAAGGCGAACCCGAGCCCTCAGAGCAAGACACCGAAGAGCTCCCCAAAGGCCACACCCATGAAGGCGAGCCCGAGCCCTCACAGCAAGACACCGAAGAGCTCCCCAAAGGCCACACCCATGAAGGCGAACCCCAAGAGCAAGGCCAAAGCCAAATCGGCCACCAAGAGCAAGAAGAAGGCTGACAAGACAGAGTCAAAGATCGTTGCGACTAAGCGGGTGCTGTTTCCTGAAGCCAAAGAAGCAACACCTGAAGGAAAAAATCGGGGCAAAGACAAGAAGCCCCGTGCCAAGAGAGGGGAAGCCCTGACATTCGCTGGACGGCGCCCGCCCATGAACGAACAGGGCCGTGACCTTTTCTTGTCGATCCGGGAGTGCTTCCAGGATGTTAAGAAGGCAGGGATCAAGGGGCCGAAGATGCAGGAGGTCTATCTGCTCTTCATGCAGGCGAAGATCAACTCGGAGGGTTTCAGCTTCGACGATGCCCACAATGCATTTCTGAGGAAGTTTCGGAATGATGTGTGAGCGAGTGTGGCAGCGACAGAGCCAGTCTGACACATCCGACTGGCATTATTGGACAAGTCGGCCAGCATGTGTATACGGCATGCTTTAGCATCATTTGTGTAGATTTCTCCAGGCACTTCGGCTGAGTCTGAGTGGTGTGTGCTTGTTTCCATGCAAATAATGGGTTGAATGCTGTACATCATAAAGCCATCGGCTCGGCCACACAGTCGAGAAATCGGTAGGGGTGATCCGAAGCTTTGTGCAGTCCATCAAGGAAGAAGGAGAGACATTCATTCTAGGTTGTAAGCCATACCATGCCTGTGGTTTTGGTTCAGGCAACAATATGCTTCATAGTACTCTCTCAGATTCATGTTTCGTCGTGTCTTGCACATATTGGCTTTATTTGTTTTCCATCGGGAGGACTGCAGGAGGCCAAGATCCTGACTTGTGCATGTGTGCTAACACACATGTACCCACAAGGCAAGTCTTAGACCTGACTTACCTTGCCAATCCAAGACTTTGAACGGGCAACATGGGGTCAGCTGCCAGGGTGCATCTTTATCATGGTGTCCAAGTATTATTGTCCGCATGGTTGCATGCCACATGTGTGTACCCGGATGTTCAGAGGCTCCAATTATCGTCGAGAAGTCAACATTCTATCTGCAGATAACATGAGACCTTTCTAAGACAAGACCCTCCAGACAGCACAGCGACCCAGAAACCTCTGAGCACCCAAGCCAGCTCCTACAATCCTTCTTGGGATGGATCACATGCGGCGCCAGGCACTCATATGGAGCAGAGACATTCACAGTGCTGGGCTCACCTTCGAGGACATGCTGCGCATAGCAGATGGAGTGCAACCGGAACTGGATGGATGCGAGATCTTTTCCGGTGCTGGTAACATCTATACTGCTATGCATTTGCGAGACTTGAAAGCCGAGAAGTACGACATCCTGGAGAACCCCTTAAACGATGCTCTGACCAACTTAGGTGCGACACGTGCCACAAGAATGGTGGCACGTGTCCGCCCTGGTGGGATGGCCTGGATTGCTTGTGATTGCGGCAGCTTCTGTCACCTCTACAGCCAGAGTGGCCGCTCGAAAAGCAACCCAGCTGGTGATGAGACGCGGTTTAAAGTGGAGCAGGGCAATTCCATGGCTCGACTGAGCATTCTGCTGTTTCTGTTGAGCTGGGTCCGTGGGGTTTTCCCCATCCTGGAGAACCCCCAGGCTAATTATTTCTGGAGTTATGAGCCCATCGCTCGCACTTTGTCTTACATGGCCGCCCATGTCACTGTCGCCATCTGCTGCCGC